TGAAAAGCAGCAGCGTACAAGTGCATGGTCGGAGTCCACGCTGGTGTTCCAGAAGGAGCGGCAGGCGGTGATCGACCCTCGCCACCGATAACTGACGGCGATGTGGAGCACAATCCCTTGGGCACTCTTGGTGCCTGGAATGGGGACGTCCTCTGTCCTGGATATGTGGACAGCATCCTTGTGGGGCTAGTTGCGTATAAGCAGCAGTGGCGTTACTAGATTACGGTCGGTTCCTTTGAAAAAGCCGCAAATACCCCGTAACTGTGTAGTGACAAGATAGACGTTAACGGCTTTCAAATGGAGTGCAGAGCCAAGGTAAGGCAGAAATACGACTGACACTCAATCCCCACTTTCCGCCGTGTACACCGAAATCCTCATTTCTCCATGTCTGCTATAACATTCTGTTCTCCCTATATCTGTCCATGCAAATCACAACCGCACCTGTCGTTGGCTTTCATTCTCCAAAGCTTGTTCCGTTTTTTCATCAGCATACGTCAGTTTTGGCCGTTGCATACAAGTAGACCAAGCGACTCATCTGATACGAGCCTTGGGTTTGCTCAAAGCTTACTTATAACACTTCTCAAGAACGATATGAGTGTATATTTTGAATTTGTGACCAGATTGCATCTGCACTTTTCCAAAGACTGCCACTACAGGCAAGCAGGTGGAGGTATTGTAAATTAACTAGGGCTAAGTGACAAGATCTCTGACAATTTATCCAGGAGCTTGTCGGTTGTAAGAGTACTGGACTGAATAGTTACACTCTCGGATTAGTCGGTTGCTAGCGTTACCACCCTAACGTGAGGCGTCTACGAAAACCCCATCTAAAGGGATCAACCGAGTATTCAGCAATTAAATAAAGTGCTGGATCTTGATGATTTCTCGCATATCACATTTAAGGAATTCCTGCTATTGGTCGTAATTCACTTCTTTTTCCTCCGCTGTTTAACACAAAAGCGACTCCCTGTTCTCATGGACGTGGAAGGACCCTATTGAGGGCACAGAGCGGCTCTCCAAAAGTTCCTAATGGTTCATATTCCAAAGGGTGATCAACATTAAGGTCACCTACAGCGTTTGGATTTCGGGACTATGCAGCGTTGGAAATAAGTACAGGCTTACGGTTGTAACAGAAGTTGAACCTATGGGTGGGGGTGTGCGAGATAGTCCAGTGGTTAGAGCGTGAATTTTTTGACCTGAAGGTCCATGGTTCGAACCCGACCTCTGCATCTCGACTTCCCCTGTCTGAGCTTGGGCAACCTGGCAGTATTCCAGCCCTTGTGCTTCCTCTGGTTGGCATCTTGGAATTAATCCAAAAGTGCTGTATTTGTGTACAGCTTGCAGCTGAGACATAGAGTAGGAGAATCTGGCATCGTGATACTGGGATAAATCATTCTTTACTAATTTTGTTTTCCTGTGTTCTACTGCATCAAGATGACTCAGTTCATTGGACAGAGTGATGTCTTAATCTTCAATGGCCCCTGAACTCTATCAGCGATCAACAGACGAACAAAATCCAGCGCTCTGCTTAGTCAAGCCCCCTGATGTCCATTCTGTCTTCTTTTTGAGAACTGGTTTTTTCCTACCTCTGAAATCGACGTCCGAGTGAAGTTACCCCCAAGCAGAATGATTTCTAGGCAACCATTTGCCAACCATTAATACTTTCAAGTGTCTATTTGTCATACACACTTGTCGTACATTGTTTTTTGGGGATAGGGGTGACGGCCGCAACAGGTGTATCACTTTTTATGTGCATTTCAATCGTACTCATCTGTTTACTTTCCGCATACGATTGCCTGCTTTCTCCCCGAAACTTCAGGTCATCCGAGCCACCGTTCAAATTCATATGGGACAGGGGATCTTTGGTCGCGATGGCTCCGTCACAACGTCCCAAGTATGTACCATCGTAGGTATTTTGTAGTCATAAACTTGGAATTAGTGTTTTTCTTTTGCAATAACATTCGGGTCGTGTCACCCCTTCTTAATGATTGGTTGTTCCCGTTCTTGTAATATGCTTCCAAGAGACGTATGCTCTTTAGGCATAATGGTAACTCCAAACTTGTTCTTCAGCTATGTGAACCATATGTCCAAGCTTGCGGCATCAGACGTTCGTTGGCTTCTGGAGACAATCGACTATCCCGAGGGAATATACGGCGGCCCACCATGTCGTATTACAGATGGGGAATACGACGCGCTCTTCGGTAATTTATGAGTTCCTATATTGTCACTTGTTTTATTGTGAAACTCGCATTCCATTCCGGAAATAAAAAAAGGTCCTTGAGTTATTGTTTTTAGAGGATATACTCGATACTTTATACTTCTATCTGTGATATCAGGATCTCACCTTATACCGATAAACAAGCGTCTCGAAAAGTTACTGCATGCCTTCAAAAGTAGCTCATGGTAAGCGGTATATTGTCAGAACCAAGTGGTTAGAGCGCGAATTTACTGACCGGAATGTCCGTGGTTCGAACTCGACCTCTGCCATTCGACTTCCCCTGTCTAGGCTTGAGCGACCTGACAGTATCCCAGCCCTCGTGCCTCCTTCGTGTGGCATGGCAGCTAGGCACCGAAAGGGTGCTACAGCTGAACGATTTACTTTTTATATATTTATATTGTCAGAACAAGTTGGAGTTTAGCAAGCTAGCTTTTCACTACTTGGAGTTCAGCATAACACGGCTGATTTACGCCAAGTTATTTTAACTGTTGCCCGGGTTCGAAAAATTGCATTCAACCGCAGTCGGCTTGTCTCATAAAAATGTCTTTGCCTTAGAAAAATGTAAAAAGTAGCTAAAAAATGAGTGAGCGGACTGAAAGGACCCCGTTATACATGGAAACTAAAACACCCCCAGCTATCCTACCAAGAATGTTGACGCCCTTGGGGTGTGGTGACTACCACTGCTTTAGAATGTAACCCGTATCGAGCGTTTTGATCTCCTTATTGGAGAATTTTAATAAAGCGACTTGTCCTTACTTCAAGAGCGTTCTGACGTTGTTATTCCAAATATCGCAAAAGACCCGCAGAGGTTTGCTCAAATGGTTTTGTACCCACCTATATATGCGTGATAGTGTCCGCCGTCTTTCTCTTAGTATCTTCAGAATGCTTGAGAAACGGTGTTACCAGAACCCTTGTGTTTCTCTCCAATGTAGTTCCCCTCAACAAGTAACCACCAATGGTGATACGTGCCGACCGGTAGTGGACGTAGCGCTCAATATTTGTCCTGTAATCAGTTGTGGATGGAGTGAAATGATGTACGAGGAATTCGTACGCCATTATAACTACCAACCACCGTCCAGGTCTTACGCTAAGTATTTCGGGTCCGAGTGCCGATTTCTGAACAACCTCGCTGTTGCAACACACTGGACCAAATAATACCATTAAGTCTGACCCGGATTATACGCCTGAAGAGAAAGTTGTCATTCCATGCGTCTACTTTCCCCTGCACCCCTTATTATATCGGGTTCTGAAGCGACCGACGATTTCATTAGATGAAGATAGGAATATTAGACCCGTGCTTCTATCGCCTCACTGAACGTGCCAGCGAGTGGTTCGGGTGTCACTGGGATTATACAGGTGAAGCTTCAGTTTAAAGGGGTGTTGGTCAACTCATAGCTTGAAGGTCGTTCGGTACATAAGGGGCACCATAATCGGCAGTCGATGAAGAAGTAGCGATGGCATTGTAGGCGACTACGTTGGTGGATTGGCTTCCGGAACCGATCTCAAAGGTTGTTGGTGATTTCAAATGCTACTAATGAGCACAGTTGTAATCCTGCATTCGGCGTTCGGTGCGGAATTCCAATTACAAATTCGGGTCAACATTAACCCCGAACGATAATGGTTCACTAAGTCGTCTTTTAATTAACTGTCCCCAATCTGTTTAACATTCTCACATACTACTAATATCGTTTATCTTATTTTATCTATCCTAATTCAACCCTTTTTCAGGGTCTGGATTTATTTCGGAACTACTGGCTGTGGATGATCTAAAGAATAGTCTTTTCGCAAATGCCGCCTATTGCTACGTTCGGATTACTCTTCTGGTAAAGAAATCTGTGTAATTGGTGGGAACTCCCTGATTCGACGCGAATAAATGGGAGAAGAGTTACGACCCGGACATTGCAGACTGATGGATTACACTCCCTTTGGATATGTTTCTGTTGCTTCTCCATCGTGAACATCGAGATGTCTATAGCTGAATTAGCCAGATTGGGATCACTGAACTTTTTGAGTTTTTTTTTCTAACCTAATTTGAATGTCACCACTGTACGTGCGACAAAATACTATCCGCAAATGATGTCTTCCTCTTGTTTTCTGAGCTGAAGCTTTTCCTCCTGATCGCCAGTTCGTTGTAGTGTTCCTCGAACTGCTCACCATATTGACGCCGTTCTGGAAGGCGAACAGCACTCAAACGTCCTTCATTCCCTTCTGTCATGCCATTTGCTATTTACCTCCAGGTTTCCGCCAAAATTAGGCTGGAAAAATAACGTTCTTCTGAGCGAGTGGTAACTCAATGCGCGTAACATATGGCTCAGCCAACCTAGCTGACAGTGATGGACGCAGTCTTTGAGTGAAGTGCCGTCTGCTTCACCAAAACGCATCTCCTGGTCACTTCACTGTGAATTCTCTGGTTACAGCTACATTTCTGAGACATCGGTGGTCAAAGACCTGAAAAGGCCTCGTGTCCTTCAGCCGAAGTGGCCAAGTCTCGTAGCCATACAAGGATTAGGGTTTTTTTGCACTGGCGCTTGCCTGATCGAGGTATGCAAAAGAATCACATTGTGTTGCTTAATCTGGATAATCGAGGTTCCTCCGGCCCTGCGATATTCACCATAGGGAACGATGTTCCTACGGGCGAACGAATGAGCGACAGTGCGTTGTGAACTACTAGGAGGAAACATTTTATCGATAATTTCAGTTGTTTGAGATCTTTGCAATTGGCGAGTTATGTCAAACGGATCAGCAGTAACTGCGGTGAACAGGGCTTCATGCAACATAGTTCACTGCATGTCAAGGCGTAAAACGACAACCACTCTATTGTCCAGCCGATTTTAGTGCCTGACACGAACTGTACCTCAGCATTAGTAACGTTGAACGCACTACACCAAGTGCTCTGGTTATTTTGGATGAATAGCCATTTCCAACATCACGAATTATCAACCGTATTTTCCAATTTACTCAAGCGTTGGGTTACTGTAGTAGGAGGCTGGATACTCGGTTGGGAGTTTCGAGAAACGGTGTAAACTCCTGATTTTTTGTTATTTGCCGCTTTTCCGATAATCTCACCCTACAGCCAATGACCAGTTATCATCGCGTTTCAATTTCTGTAAGCTGTTGAGTGTATATCAGAGACAGAGAAATTGGTATAGTTCTTGGTTATATTCACACCTGATATTCACAACTGCCGAAACCCCGAAGAACAACATACAACTTCCCAAAATTAATTTGGGACGAGGTTTATTACCACTTTATATTTGTACCACTTCAAGACGAGTATGTCGCAAAATAGGACTTATCATGTAGACCACACTTCCAACCAATTTTTACATAACAGAAATTGCCTTTTTTGAGGAAGCTCAGGGAAACTTCACCAGGTTCTACATATATGAACAAGACCACGGCACCCGGATTGATCGAGAATGTGCAACTCCAAGTTGTTAGTTTCCGTTAGCAGGTTGTCAAAATGCGCTTGGCATTCCAAAGCGACCCATATATAATATTATGAAAACCGATATCATTTTGAGCATCACAGCAAATATCCGCTAGCAAACCGTTTGCTGAGGGATGTAAAACAGCTGGGCATCTAGCTATGGGGGGAAACGTCGCATGCCACAGAACGGACCAAAAGGCGCTACACGCCTAATACCATAGCCGCACCATTGCATCTGCTCCTATAGAATATTTGGCTGCATGTCGATAGATGTGACATATACTCGATGCACTATCATTAACTCACGTAGCCCTGTGGGAATGTTGGTGATAGGGTTGAACGGAAGGTAAGTGGCTCTTGGTTCGATAAATCCAGGTTTTTATGTGGCCACCGCCTCTCCCCTGTGCTTTTCACAACCGGTCCATGCCTTGAAACCAGCTTTCCGGACTTCGACATCCCGCTGTAGCTGGTGATCCCTGATAATGGGCTGGCATGCTACGACAGACACCGGCAATAAAGTTGACCACATTCATAACCGGCGCTCACCATGTGATTCGCATCCAGCAAAGAGGCCCTGATGTCATCGCTGTTCCACCGAAACAACGAAAATACACCGAGGACAGCTATACGGTTTGGAGATTTCTGGACTTGAATTTAGTATCCTCTCGCGTATTAAGAGCTATGTGCAACAGGTGTGAATATGACCAAAAAAGCATGAACTACCCCGGTGACAGTTTGAGACAGTCTTCTGGAAATGAGGGCTAGTGCGAAGTTGAGACACATTTTCATGGTGCAGATAAAGCTGTTGAAACCATTGTTTTTCGGATTCTCCTGGCTTCCGTTCAATTTAAAAGATTCAGGTTTCCCAACACTTCCCAGCTAAGACAGCTCTTCGCTGAATCTATGGTAGCTTTTGGTTTTCTACATATTGAACTCCCAAAAGGCAGTAGCTCGTGCTTAGAAAGTGCGAAGAGCTATTAAGACGTTCCATCTATCCAATCGATAACTACCCCTGGGCGGCAGTCAACTGCCTGGTCGCATTGTCGTCGACCATGATTGGCGCTCATTGATGGGTTGTACTATCGATGTGGCCAACGCTGTAACTCGTTCGTATTAAATGAAGGCTAACACACGGATCCCCAATATCGTGAGTTGTTTAGAAAGGAGTTACGGGAATGCTGGAATTAACAATGGGCGCGCTGCAGTCGGAGTTTGTTGGTCGACAGTTTTGATAAGCGACCTTCGGCCAAACAAGGGGAACCGCAGGCTTTATAGAAATGCAGAGAGAAGCTGGCTCAGGCCAGTTACCAACAAGCACCCGAGGTGCCTCAAAAGAGAATATATACACTACACTTAGAACAATCAAACCGATTCCATGAGATTGGGCTGTTGAGAGGCCAAAGAACACTCCGGCAATTTGCTTTCCAACAAAAAACAGAATACGAAAATAGTCTAGCCTTTCTAGTTTATGGCACCACGTGAACGCACATGACTACCCACAGTAAACATTAGTTTGATCCCAGCATGGTTTGGGTTTCCAAACATGGTCCTCATCTAGATGAACCTCAAATACTCATAAACGGGTCCCTGCAAAGGGAAGTTACAAACCTGAGGAAAACAAAGTCGAATTCCAAGTCGTCCACGATCAGGCAGATGCACCAAAAGCACTTCCGATGGTCTAGAGCATGTTATTTCTTATGATAACGTGAGAAATGCCAACTATGTCACACTCATTCCAATCTTTGGGGGTGTTGATTTTCGTGTAGGCGCTCAGCCCTTCCGAGGCCTAGCTACCATGCCAACCGAAGGAGGCACGGGGGCTGGGATACTGCCAAGTTGGCCAGTCCTAGACAGAGAAAGTCGAGAGACAGAGGTCGGGTCCGTAAATTCGCGCTCTAACCACTTGAGCCACCTCGCCCCCGTTTGTGTAGGCAAGTCGTCCCCAAACTTTTCAGTTCACTGGCCCCTAGTGCATAGGGTGCAGAACCATCAGCCCTCATTTTTGTATAGAACATGATGGGAACCAGCTTAGTTAGAAATAGCGAGAGAGACTCGAGAGACTTTTCAAAATGAGTCCAATTCGAGAATACATAGGATACCAAGTCCATGATCTGTCCGAAAGAAGACCATCTTCCCAAGAACTTCATTAGCTCGTTCCAAAATGGTATTCCACATGTCACATACACTGGCTAATACCGATTATCAGAAAGGGCATAGACGCATACCCAGAGCATTGCACATACTACGCAATGACGTGCTTCCAGTTTTTCTGAACCGGGAATGAGGATTTGGAACTTTAGGCATTTTCAAACACCGGAGTACAAGTGATCGAAACCCCAGAGATTAGCACGAAACGGTTAAGTGTCCGATGAAATTGCCAATGAAAAATATGAATGCTTTTTTTAAAAGACTGTGCCAACGACGTTCATTGTCAGACAGAGAAGATAAGATATTGCAAAGGCACAAGTCGTGTCAGTTAACGTTGACTGGTTTCCACCAAACTGTCGGGAAAACCACTAACGTGTGTCACGTGCATCAGTGTATGCACTAAGCAACCTACTGACAATCGAGTGTGCTGTGATAAGAGCATGAGTTCATTAACAAGACTTTCCTTGCACGCACTTACGGACCACGTCCCACGGATCTACTACTGCATGTAAAAATGGTTGTGAACGGCATCAACGCCTGTCTTGAAGTTGCAACTCAAATATGCATTTTTGATGGACACAACGGGTGTCTACTAGTTGATTACAAATGTCGAAGATGGTAAATATACAATAATGATCCTTTAAATTGAGACCACCTTAATCCGATCCCGTAAGACCAGCCCTGAAAGTGATACCCTTATAAAGATAACCTATCCATCTCCTAGCAGAAGCAACTTTCAATGGCGCAAAATATCATCTCAACAAGAAGCAGATCGCGAAAAACTCGTGCACCAGTTTTTGCGTCAACCAAATGTCTGAACAGTGGAATGAGGAGAAAACGCTGTGTCCTCAAGTGACTAGGGGAATTCACGACATGATTTCCACCCTCACAGCACCACTTGTGGTTAGTCCCTTGCGAGTTCCTCGGATACATAAGTCCCATTTGCGAGAACAATTATTGAAAGATGTCAACTTTGGCGAGTTCCTGCAAGAGACGTTTAGAGCTAGGACAGCTTCACCACAATCCATTGCTCTAGGAAAGTCAATTGAAAAGGTCGTCCAAAAGTGACATTCAGAGATGTCTGTTTAAAAAGATCCAACTGTATACATGTCCCCTCTCGAAAGGCCGCTCCAAAAGACCGACTGAGAGCAGTCTCATTTGCGAGTTGATTGCTTCCGGGGGAATTGTACCAATGGAAGCATGATTCACAGGGCAAGCAAAATAATTTCCTCAACGGCCGGTCTATCCAGGGATGGATGGATAAAATCTTACAGCCAGGATTTTGCCTTTCGGAGATCGCTACAGTAGAAAGCCTTGTACTGGTGTATCTTTTAATGGTGTTTTACCATGCAGATGTTCCATCATCTGTGAAACACCTACGGTAATGTTGTGGGTTTAGTGTAACTTAAGATAGCTCCAATCCTCATTGGAGACCAAGAGTGGAGCAGAAATACTCAAGATGAGACAATTCATCGGTTGGGACCCGCATAAGAGCCTCTGGAACTAAACAGGTAACACTGTTGATCCCCAGCCTGATGATCGAGAGAAAACACCGCATGCCATCAACCCAGCTTTACTAGTGGTTGATGAACCACCTCTTATCGACTGGCGTGACTGCAGTCCAGCCTGCGTTGCGCACGCAGCGTCATTTGTTCGAACACGTCACAGTTGAAATAAAGACTAATGGTGACGGAGCGACTTGAAATTTATCACTTCCAACAACTTGTATTGTTTTCATCAATATAATGGGGTGCTATGCACTTTTATGATATATATATATATATATATATATATACACTTGTCTCAGGGAGAGGATTACATCTGATTAGTCGTTTGGAACGCTCGAATAAACCTAAAACCCTCCCGAACTTAGTACGAAAACCGTGCAATACAATTGTTAACGCCTCCCTCCCTCACATCGAGAAGACATTTTGGTACTCTCTGAAGGAGTCTCCTCGAAGTAGGTGTGTAAGACACAGAGTGATACTAGTAATTCAGATAATAATATAATATCCTTTTCTAAAGGGACAGGTGTCTATCGGGCACGAGATTGTTGTATGACGGAATAGTTTTTTTGCTAGAATTCCAACAGCGCCACATAACCGTTGTTGACTAGGTGTATATTTCGAAGGGCAATGAGGGGATTTTGTAATGGTTGTTTTCATGTCAGTAAACCATGTGCTCCGTATGCCCTCGTTTTTCGTAGTTTTCGCCGGCTCAGCTCGCCTAGCGAAAAGAACTCAATCAACCGGAATAGACGATCGGATATTTTCGCCTAGCATGAGCTTTCACTTGTTTGTACACCATCCGATCGATACAGAACGCACTAACCGTGAGCATCGCAGTATGCCTGATTACCCAAACTAATCACTACCCCAAGGTACGTGATCATCTCACGCATGTCACCCGCCAAGCGTAAGTCCGTGGGTACTCATTTAACAGCGCAGACCGTCTGCTGGAGTGACCAACAAGGATCGAAGCTTCACGTATCGGAGTTTTGTACCCGGCCACTAATAGTGTCGTATGCCGCTGTGTGTACTGGTGGTGCCCCTACCCAACGCGATAAACCACCTATAGATTTTTTCATCAACATCATCGGAAGAAGTGAAACAGTGAAGCAATAATTCTATACATAAGTTCTGGTAGTCAATAGAATGACAAGATGAACCAAGAAAAATCCGTAGTTGTGCGCTGCTTTGCACCAGGAATTCAGGTCAGGAACGATCTGACCGAATGCTGCTGTAACAGCATAGTCCTATAAACAAGCCAGTAGAGTGGAGCGTGTGCATCGATTCCCGTGTGTGACGCACTTGAATGCAATAAGGAGCAGATAATTCATGCATCAGCTGGACAGCAGTCAGAAACAGACCGGAGGAGGAAGGATATTCAAACTGCTGCCCGTCAGACTATAGAGTTTCGGCCGTTTGTCCTAATACAGATGCGTCGCCGTCTGGTGGCACTTCGACTAGGCCCTTGTCTTCCCAAATTGCGACATAGTGACCATCGAGCAACGGCGGTCCATTAGGAAAGGCTACTAGCGCGATGGTTCGATGACAGAACGACCGTGCTGTTGGATCCGGATTACTCGGGGTCCAGCGATGTACGCATTGTCCTTCTAATCCATCGTAAACTGAAGGGCTACAAAGGGACTGTGTCAAACACTGTGTCCGCCATTCTTCAGAAGGCCAAGTTAGCTTGCCAAGACGGTCATTGAGTACCTGTGTTGGATCGATTATCTGTCGAGTGGCGGAAGTAAGGAAGAGAGGAAAGAGGATAGTAAATGGGCATTAAGAGCAAGTTGAAAACAGAGTGGCAAATTTATGTAGCTTCGATGAAGCAAGTGGGGATGAAAACTCACTTTAACCCTCGTTCGCGTGGTGGCTCTCGACCCACTAGGTGAAGAGTGTCCTTCAACGTCATAGTGTTCATGTACCAGGGCGGCAAGTGTTGTTAGGCGTGCAGACTGTCCTACCTCTGACTGCTTCTGATGAATTGATTCATCCGACTCGGTAAACGAGTGCCAATTACTCAGCGGGTCGTCGTTTGGATCAGTAAGGTGGACGTTGTCACGATCTCGGCGTCCATGGCTTCTTGAATCCCAGGAAACTGATCGGCCTGCGGTGTCGGTCCTACCGCGCTCAGTGAGTTCCATCGGTCTGTCTGCGCTGGGGGCTACTGCGTAATCAACAAGATACGAATTTTATCCCACGAGATTACATGAATACCAGTTCCGTGCAGACCGTTTGACACAGAACACTATAGTTAAGGGTCAGGTACAAAAGTACCCCTACAGTTGAGCAATAACATCAGTAGGTACGTAAGTAACAGAATACATCAGATATGAGCCATAAACTTTACCTTAAATGCGTCACTCGTGTAAGTTTACGGTCAGAGTTTGTTTACTTTGTGGGCTATACAGAAAACAAGCGTTTCGAAGATGCTGATGTAGTTTGAGTCATTCGAGTAATCATCGATACTACTAGCAATCATGAACCATGCACCTCAACGGGTATACCAGCACACATGTGATAAGTGAGATGGTCCAATAATTTATTTACCCCGAACATGATGACGCGTTTTAGTGAAATACAACACTTGGTCCACCCGAATTAAAAACATCCACTGCTAACGTTACACAAGCATAAATGAATCTGTCCACTCATAAATTTGCCATATTTTTGTCAAAGTTTATGCTGCACACAATCCTTAAGTGAACACGTACGCTTTTCAGGAAATATGAAGATTTCAAACACCCCTCGTTGGCAATAATTAGCAGTACACTTCGTGACTGGTTAAAGCCAAAGGTGCCACATAAGTGTCTCGTCTCGCCGTCTACCCTGATTTCCTGCCGTATACATTAGGCTACGATAATTGCTTAGCGACCTTCAGGCAAACCTGTATCTTGAACCAGTCTAACTGGGCTTACCGACTGGTGCATGCGACAAACTTAGTTTTTAAGATAGATTTATCGGAACAGCCTCATTTCTGCTCATCTTGTGTGCTTATTCCTCTGAGCTTAGCTTCACTGAAGGATGTATGGATGGTTCCACACATGGATCTGCACTAGTCTTATGTGATACTGCACCTGAAGTTCTTTAGGGTTTTATGGGTAAAACTATAAATTAACGAGTAAACCTCAGAGATTTGAACAGCCTAGCAACAATTTTCTCGGACAGGTGATTGCACCCTGTACACCGACTCATTAGACTTACTGCTCTGATTTGGATGACATAGTCGCCGAAAACGCAGTCCAATCCATGCAAAACAGTGACGAACCAGTTGCAAGATACCGACAAACGAAAGTTCTGGACCGCCAGCCTTTCTGTATTGACGATTGGTTCCAGCGAAGCTGGTTAATATGGGACTGACATAGATTGGATAGCCAATAGGTGGGTCGCAGCTAGAGTTCACCAGATTTCGAAGCACATGCTGAGCCATTTGAATACTGCCGCGTTCCACGTTGGTGTTGCGCAGATATATTTGTTCACGTTGTTGTCCAGCCCACAAACCACGAACGCATTCTGGATTTATCTGCACATTTCGGAAAGCAGTTAGTGCGTAATTGCTATTCGTAGCAAACAATAACAGGTGCACAAGGGAAAAAAGAATCAATCCGGCTGACGATATGAGTTCAAACAACAGGCACTGCTGCACTCACCCACCGGGTATTTTTCCGGGCGAGCTTGTGTACTTGCAATTTAGGGTTACGCTTTCCCCACCAATTACCTGATATGAAGTAATTTCCTATACAACACCTCGGCTTTGTGAATAAGTGGACAACTAACGACACATCCATTCAATCGGAAATATGTGACGCTTTCTACACAGCACAGGTACGGAAGATGGCACAGCAAATGTCAGTCCTCAATCCACTTCTTTTAGGTTACTTATTTAAGCAATTTGAGTATTGCTCAGCAGCCGGCTTGCCTTATCAGTCCTCGCGGAGCACCTGACGGTCATCAAGCTACATGCTCGGAATATAACCAGACAGGTGTCGAAAAGGTGGCCGGATGTCATACATAGGACACTACCAAGTTAATAAAGAACGCTCTAGGTGACACGGGTGCTATGTTGTCTTCCGCCCAAGGCAGGACACAGTGGTAGGCTGCTTGGATAAAGTATTAGTCACAATGTGAGAACGCATCAGCAGACTAAATCTACCGCAGGATATTGCAGATGTGCTCTCCTTAACTTAGATGCGGCACTCAAAAACAGCAGGAATACTGAGTCCGAACTTCATAAAAGTTATTGGAATTTCAAAAGTTAAAGCAACTGTGATTTTTTCACGACTATCTGTATAAATCAGTATTTTGTCGATTATCCTTGTTGATCTACCATGATCTTCCCAATCGCAGTACGTACAGCACATAATCTGATTCGCGATCACACCCTGGGATATCAATTACCACGCTGTGAATGATTGCAAAGACATCTGTTCTGACACCATCGAATTCCTCGCCCGAAACACCGAAATTCGGAACCTAGTACTACAGTGTTATTATTATAACTGCGTTTTGGAGGTGTTTGGATGAAGTAGGAATCGTCGGCTAATTATATACAAACTAAAAGAGCGGAATTCAGCAGCCCAAAAGAAGGTGCTCTTCCATACAGCGAACGGATAGAGAACGACTTCCTCTTCCAGTATAGGAACGAATTGCACAGTTCATCTCTAGTTCCACTCGACGGTAAGAGATAAAATAGAAACAAAACTATTTAAAAACCGGACAACATAAGGAGAAGGGTGTACCTATCGTGCATATATCGTCAGGTGAAGAAAGCATTCCAACAAATGAGATACTCTACTACCAAAATAGTTTTGTCTGCGACAGTGGGATGCTTAACCGCGAGATTTCAAGACGAGTTCATACACTGGCACGTTGTAAATAAGATGAAAGTACCCACGGGGGCCACCTTGATGGACCAGTCAGCGTGCAAAAGCTATGACTGCGTAGAAATACGTGCTTAGCAAGGCACCCGACCGGACCGGACCATTAGAGAGTAACAGCCACTGCAATAATGAAGTTAATTTGGTCACATAACTTCTGTGTAATAGAGCTCCTAGTAAGCACTGTTCCTGAGGAAGAGACCATGTCGGTGCATCGGAGCATTTATGCTCTGGAAATACTGAACACAAGCAACAAAAAGGTGATAAACACGTTCCGGTGTCTCTATATTCGGATTTACAAAAGTGGCCCACTGCGAGTGCTGCAAAGTTCTGTTCTGTTCTGTTCGAGGAAAAGCCGAGATATGCGTTTAGCCAAGTGAACGGTCATCACTCTTTAGATGAAAGACAGCGGTAACAGTGATCGGTGACTGCAGGCTCTGCTGCAAAAAAAACCGGATAATAAATCCAATTAGGTGATTCCTCACTACATGTGGACACTTTGTTGTAAAAGCAAGGAACTGAGATGTAAATAACACGCACTGAATGAGGGTGAAAGAGGGAATGAAGGAACTCAATCAGAACTGAATGGGAGACCGTGAGGAACTGTCGGTGATCTGTAGGGTTGTGTTGGAAATAAGTACCGCTCCAAAGCTTTTGTGGGTCTTGAAGGGGCGGGTTTTTGCAATCTTTACCTACTGGACAGAAATTGATACATTCAGTTGGAGTGCCCGAAGGTGATAAGAGAAATAGGTTTCTCACTCAGATTCCATGGTCCAACAGTATGGAGAACAAGTGACATCGCTGAACGTGGATGGAGTGGAAACGCGTTCTGTTCCGAAAACGAGACAATTCGACAGAATACCTACGGAGCCGATTACAAGGCTTGGATGAAAAAAGTCGCCACAGTTCAGCTCAAATGATGGAGTGAATTGAATTTACCATGTTCTGACTTGTATTTGGCATCATTAAAGCTGCTGTTCTCCTAAACATGACTGCCTGAAAAGTGAATTATAAGAGACGATATTTTTTATATCTCAATTATGAACGTGATGATGCAACTGAGAAAGCGTGGTCCATTTCGGGTTTGGTTTCTCGATTGAAAAGCGTGACTCCTGGTCATCCAAAGCAGCTTTGAAGGTCACATTAGCCTCGACTTCGGAAACAGGGAGACAATCCGCCGTTCTTCTTCAGTGAAGAATCCATTATCAACAACAACTTGACGAATGATCGCATGATTCTGGCCGATTCACGACCAACTGCAAACATTCGACGTTAACGCAGTCTGAACGGTACAATTCGGTCCGGCTACCAAAGCACAGTCGAATGAGCTTCTCAGAACGACTGATAATAAGATGACACGATGTGAGCAGTCATCATACTAGCAAAAGCAAGGAAGCGTGGTCAAGCTTGCTTCGGTAGTCAGAAACCAAAGAGATAATGGTTACAGACGGTGAGGCGATTACGCTGTATTCGGAAAATAAACATAGGTAGGACCTGCAATAGAATAGTTACAAAACTTATTCCCTGAAAAACTTCAAGGCTTTGCAATGTCCTCCGTAGACCCAGAGCTTGGTCATATATCATACCCCGAAGGCAGCCTCAGACCACAAACTGTGATAAGCACTGACTGACAGCAATATTCAAGGTTCGGACTGACGAAAGAGAGAAGAGGATTCTAGGGGATCTAAGGTAAAAGTTCGTTGATAAGCATTATTTGGTTCTGCCTGTCCAAATGATATGATACTTGATAAATGCTAAAACTGATGGCTTAAAAACACCTTGCGGTTTCGTTTGGGTTAGTGCGGAATCAGCATAAACCAGGGTACTATGACAATAGCCAGCATATCGTGACCGACGAATGGTGATGATATTACGGAAACAGGCTCTGTTGTGGTGTACAAACAGCACCCTCCGTAAGTGCAGATATATATATATATCTACCATGAAGAACTTACTTTTACAGCACGGAACTGAAGCTTGCTTTTGGTGAGTTGCACAAAGCGGTACATATCATCCGAGTCGGCGCCAACCCAACGAAGCGAGAACAAAGAGTACGCATCATTCAGTACAGCGAACCGCCACATTGGATCGGTCTCGTGACATATGACGAACTTCTTCTCAGTGTACACAATCTTTCGATATAATGTGTTGTTAGTACATTCCGGTGTCCAAAGAAATTCATCCTACAGGCGTTAGAGGAAAATTGGGAGAAATATAGTAAAATTATCGAGGAGCCGAACGGTGATAAACCTGAAAGACTGCATCCGAATAAGTACCTGATACAACTTGAGGGCAATGCGCATTGCCGGTGTAACCACAGACTGCAGCAGATCCAAATCAGTGAGGATCCAATCGTCCTTGGTCATTACTCGTATGTCACCTTTGAATATGTCATGGATGCCCCGAAGTACTTGATTCACGCTGGACAAAATAAAAAGGATAGTTATTAAACAGTCCAGTAACCTGTTTTTCGAATTTAACACAATACCGGAAAGCAAATGTGAAATACGGAGATTTCTTAGAGGCGGGTTCGCGTAACTAGTCTAGAAAATTCAAAGAGATCCGTTCATTCTGGCGGAAGAGGGAGAATACCATCGTTGCCACCCTAAAAGTACCTCACTAGCGCGCAACAACACTTGGCAGTTTCGTTCATTCTACAGCACTGCTGAGAGTGATCATCCCTGGAGACGGCAACACTCTTTTTAATAATTATGCCACGCACCGAATATATTACAAAGAATTTCAACTTAATTCACTTCATAGAACGGTGGATTGCAGAAAATCCTGAGTCGCTACTGCATGGTCGTGCAGGAAGCGCGACCAGCAATAAGGTCTGAGTGATCCAATTTCTACTCATCGTTTGGTGCTGTAGAGTTTACGCAGACCCAGTAGTTCGTGGTCAGTTTTGAGAGCCAGGTTTTCAGTTGTCCTACGGTGCAACAGTGCCATTCTAAACAAAACAGCGGCGACAAGAGGGGTTTGGAAATATTTAATCAATGGTAGTGGGTGTCGATGGATCGACATGACGAGGCGTAAAGCATTATAAACGCGTCTTTCAATACCATCACTTGCTGGGCTGTCGTCCGGCATTCGTGAAGTCAAATACATCGAGCGTTCAAAAATCGTCAGTTCGAATGCCAGGGCAGTCACAGTGTGGGCATGGAACTTTGTTCGAACGCTGGTTTACCAGCACTTCCAATGAGCGGTGTAGAACCGTATGAAATGCTTCCTGGCAGTGTCGATATGATTGTCTATTTTTTGCCATGCGTAACTATTTGGAAGGATGATGCAGCCCAAACGCTTAAATGAATCGACTTGGTTTGTGAACTCTCAGTTGATAGGGGGTGTCCATGATTGCGGTGAAGAGTTTGATCTTTTCCGAGGTTACTTCCAGCGAAGCGTAGTCGTTGATGTGCCTAAGGATAGGCTACATTCCTGTTAGATCTTTGTTTAAGACGATGACACAATCAGCCTAATTCGTAATATACTTTGTCCGACCAACTCTACCCTGAAGAAGTCGTTGGGGGCATGCGACACTGTCCAGTCGGTTGGGAAACTGAAAAACAGGCAAAAACACGTAGCCTTACTAAACACCGCGCCGTTATTTTTTTCCGCTAAAGAATCACAGCAGTCATTGTGCTTGAGTAGTAAGTTGCGACGTTGCAGCGGACCCTGGAGGTCATTAGACTCTAAGACAGTCCAAGGGCATTCTCTGTTGACTGACTTCAAAGATTTACAGATATCAATGAAACTAACCACGGTTGGTTGATGAGACATGTGCTGGTGTACAAAACAGGTCGCGTGATTCGCTGGTCAGTATAATCTCTGCCTGAAAGGAAGTCTTCTTGAGACTCTCGCTTCTCCGAGATCCGCAGTGGTAGTTTGGCAAATATTTTGGCTGTAAGGTTTGTCGCGCTAATTCCTCACTAGTTTTCGCATTCCGTTATTCAATCCGTAGTAGAATAAAGGTACTATGATCCATGGGGAAAACGTTGGTGTTCCATATTGAGCGAAATGGCCCACGAAGAAGCTCGAGAAATTTGTTGATTTCTGCCGAGATAACATATTCACTAGGCGCCTTTTTTCTTCGGTAGTTTGAGTAGCACTGCTTATTCACTCTAACCGGAGGCATCACCATGGATTAGGCAGGGCGTGGAGGCTGTGGTTTAAGTGGTGGGCAAGCTGAAGTGTTCGGTTCATTTCTCTGGATCTTCTTTGTAGTCCGCTATTAGTGGACGGTGGATCTTAAAATGGGAATTTTGTTGACTGAGTTGTTGGCTGGAGCGTGAAGGATAGACCGGATGAAATGTGAACAATGGCGGCCGTTTTCGTATCGAAGGTCATTCATAGCCATTACTACAGTCTTTTTGAGCCGAGTAGGTGGCCATCCATGTACGTTTCGAAAATCGGAAGCACTGGTACTATGTGATCGGATAGCCAAATGAGAGGAATCCTTGTGACGTCACAACGCAAATCCGAAATGTGATGTAGCTGCCCTTCATAAGAAGCAATCAGGACTCTTCGACGGAGGTCTGTTGAAGTCGAAAAAGCCTTAGCTTAACGGCGTTAGCTGGTAATAGCAACCGAAAATTTCTCTGGTTCTTCAAGGTTGAACATGTTCATCCGTTTTGCAGGTCGTAATTTTTACGGAGTAGTCATGTTTATTTTGAATCTTGTGTGTATACGGGCTTGGTCACAAATACACTTACTTTCGATTCCTAGTTCACTACAACCTTCAAAAGATGATCCACATCAAGTAACCATTAGAATGTAATCTACTTCGAAGTAGTAGGACCGTTGTTAGAATGCTAGATAAGGAGCTGCAGCGAACAGTCGGACTTGTTTGGAGTAGTTCGCGCTGTCATTGAAATGAAGGAGAATCAAGATACATTCCCAGGGCCTCCCAAACCCTACCGGGTTCTCTAGTTCGTAGGAGAAAGCGGTAATAAGGTCACGTAAGATATCACTGTTCTGTGTGAACTAGAGCACCCTCGGAAAGGACTATCCACTGACTGAGCGACAGAAGAACAGCAAACTCACTCATAGTGTGCAGATTGTATACCTCCCATACATCGGCGTCCGAGAATACTTAGCGCGTAGCAAAGAGAAACCAGCGGAGAATCTTCATCACAAGATATAGACTCCTGAGCAGAAGAGGAAATATAGAAAGCATTTGTGAACGCCGTAACCATAGACAAAAAAGAAACTGACAGGTGACAAACGTTTTACTTGCAAAAAATGAGCAGGGTATCAGGTCGCTGGGACTAAGTGTCACATAGCTTCGCGTGCAACGGCCGAGGACAAGCAGAAGGAGCGAATGTTTGGCACAAATTGAGGGGAACTAAACCATGGGTTTGCACACCTTGCGAACCAATCCACGGATTTATTGGGTGTTTAAAAGACTGCCTCCGTCGGATTGCGTTGCCTGGCGGTTAGGATGCAATAGGGACACATTGCCATAATCCTGAGATTATCAACTGACAGTTCATGGGTGGGTAAAATGAAACAGACAATTCGCATAACGCGGGAACGTGAGGACCGAACACGCTTGTCGGCGATGGAAACATCAAGTTTCACACAACTTGAAAATCCCATCAGAAGAGTCAGTTTCATGGAAAAGAATGTGTGTTTGATTAGTATGTGACTGTGTCGTGCAAAAGGGTGCTATGTATGGCTCTCGTCTGAAATCACAGCATAAGGGGAGATGACAGCGTATTAATTTATGAATCAATCTCATACCACCCTCTTATCGCTGAACATAAGGTGGCCTGATTCACATGAACGGAGAAGGGAGCAACCCACAAGACGTCCAACCATGTTCAACCCTGCGAGAAAATGGAAATTATCATTCCAGAGCGACATAATATCCTGCAGCTTACCAGTAATTCGCCTTTCTTCCACAAGCAAAACCGAATCCATTCTCCATAGGCTTTGATAAAACGCCGTCTCGTTACGCCGTTGCATTGCTCATCATAATCACCATCAATAGTCCGAAGGAAAACCGGGTCCAAATCAAAATGACCAGGTGAATCAAAGCTGCCGGCACGTAGATATGCGGTGAGGTTCTCTAGTCTTTGCGGAAGGTCATGTAATTGGAGCACATAGAAAATGATGCACTGCAAAAGAAAAGCGAACGACGAAAGGCGCATAAACAATGCGAAATGAAGGTAGTGGCTAAATAAAACAGCTAAGGGAAAGTTCACTGATAAACACACTTCGTATAGCGGAAAAAGTGATGCCATTTCATTCAGGTCTTGCTGCACTCCTTTGATCACACCGTGCTACACGAGTAGAGAAAATGAATTTTGTTTTTTTTACATCCACACTTTGTTTATTATATCGGGAAGACATGAACAAGGCGTTTCAAGAAAAACTAATATCCAACCAAAAGTAGAGGAACAAATACGTATTCAGCTCACCTGTACGAAACGATTAACAAGGACTTTACGAAAATCCGTCAAACGAACAATTGTGTCAGCCCCATGCGTGGTCATTCGATAGCCCGAGACGTTGTACGATCCGTAGATAAACTGCCATGTTGTCCAGCGCATTCGCAGAGCGGCATTCACACTCAGCATGCCGGGGTGATGTCCGGGATTGAAACAACAACAACCATTCGTATTATGCGAAGTACACCGTAAAGCTTCGGTTTCACGTTCATGACAGGAGGTTCCTAAATGTGTAAAGGAGGAATTGGACGTCACCTCATGGATGTAACAGGAGTTTTCTGTTTCACATATACAGTTGATTGATGAAAGACCATTGAGAACGAACGTCCTCAATCTTGTGTGGCGGAAATGTATACAGACCGTTAACCGTTGATTTACACATGAAAATGGGTTACATGTTCCCACAGGGACTTAAAAATACACCTAGGCGAAAATTCACGAAGCTTTTACTGAAGACATACTCGTCCGCTGTGATACCAGATAGCCTATGTTCGAAGAATACCAAAGCACATGAGTAATCCGCTCCAGTTGATCCTTCCTACCCAACTTACTAAGCGCCCTATCGCATCTAACTTCACTTTATCAAATAAAGTAATAAGGCAGTCAGATTTCAAAAGATACGTTGTAAAGCAGAGTCATGGTGGTCTTCGATTCTCCGTTCGGGTGTTCAAAACGCTGTGGAAATGAATCAGCCTGTATCTATCATATTTAATAAGTGGATGGCTGTGTGTTTCAGCGAACTGGTGCTCATAAAAAATAATCTAGAAGCATAATACATTGGACAAATTACGTTTTCGAGGTGATAAGTATCTAGGTCAGTGATTAAGATTCACCGATTCGATACAGAGGAACAGCTAATCGAGGCTTCAAGATCTCCAATCTCGGATAGTTCCAATAATCCAGGACAAAATGAACGGTTCTCAAGCTCGACAGTGTATTTGAGTATACTGCCTTTCAACGTACCTGTTAGGTGTCTTATCATGCCATGATTTCTCGATCGAGAAGTCAAGTTAGACTGCGTGACCGGAAGCCACACGACAGTCTGGGATGCGATGAAAGAAAGATGACGCGCTCTGGTGTACCTTAAGGTCGAAGGTTTCCAGTGAAGTAATCGAACAAAGCAAGTGACTGGGTCCTCACAGGAATTCCGGTCCATGTTCACGCGCACATTAGTGATAAACAACATATGAATACTTTTGGCAATGTGGGATAGAATCTCTAGAAAGCGAGGTCCATCCTACATAGTTTATATTTTCTGCTTACAATCCAAATGACTGTAGCTCTGACTATGTCAGTTTCTATGACGATCCAGGCGCTCTCCAACAACGGGTTAAAAGTTCAGATATTGTTGTGGTTGTTGGTGAGATGAACACCCAGGTAGGTAGGCTAAGCGCTGTTGAGACCCAGTTGGACGGTCATCTTGGGTTGGACACCGGAAGGAATCGATCGGCACATAGAACAGCTTGGAAACTGGAGAAAGCGCGGCAAAAGACAATCATGGTCCAGTAGTGACATGTATAATCCAGTGTAAAATACGGCCCAGGGCGTATAACCTGAAAAAGTTATCACTTACCGCTGAACTCGAGACCACGAAGCTGAAACGTTAGAAGTCCATTTCCTACTTCGATAATATGAATAACTAGGTTGATCTCCTCTGAACTGAATATGAAAAAGTCTCCAGTGTTCACAGCCATGCCACCGACGCGACCCAGTTGAATATCTCCTGCCAAAACAGACTGTAAGTTACGGGTGAGGTGCTCGTAGAATATCGCGTTCAAATTCCCCGTGACCTGATTTTCAGAAACGCCACGCAACTGACTGATCAATGCGGTGTTGGTTGTCTCCATACGTTCGGTGCTACGAGGAAATTTGAAAGATATATGAAGTTTGACGAAGTTAATCCCGAATACGGCTAAATACGATGAAGTTCGAGAGGACGCAACAAAGAAAGCGGAACGCTTGCGGAACGTTACTCATATTCATGCAGCATCTTGTTCAGTAAGTTTCACTCGGATCACCTGACTGTTCTACGAGTGACGTTTTCCAGTGTACTTATTACCGGTTCGTATGCACTCCTACATGTTACTCTGTCTACCAATAGCACCAACTGAAACGATGAGGCCGATGGGGACTTGTTTGAGCCATCACCATGCAGGTTTGTAGTAAGATATTTCAGATTTCACTGATAATTACACACTAGCTTATTCAAACGTCGGATAGATCACCCGATCCCTAGGATAGTGAACATATACAGCAAACGAAGAAAGACGGTTACATGTGATGTCTGTAATCGAATGATATGTCTGCCTGTCTAACTGGTGCCCAAAAGTAATATGTGCTGTAGGACAAATGGACAGACAACTAGTTCAATGGACAGATCGGCGGTGCATGTGATTTTGAGAAACTTGATACTACTTGGTACCCACATTAAACGTTTGCGACCAAATAGGGTTTTTCATACGTATGACGATTTGAATGAACGATAGAAACTTCGGTATTGGTAGAAACCCAGTGAGTAGATGGATCTTGCAGTCCGTAATGAATACATGAGCTCTCCAAATAATTGTGAGACGTCACTGTGTGAATGACCAAGAGCAAACTGCCTTACCCTTACCCCTTACCGTCCCACCGAACCTCCAGTGAGATTATACTCTACCCCTGTGGTTAGTTGGGAGAGGATGACGCATAATGCTTCTTGCGCGGTACCAGTGGTTGTCTCGACTAGATCGGTTTTAGATGTGTGTCTTCTCACATAAAAAGTAAATGATAAGTATTCCTGCATTTTCAATAACACTAGAGTACCAGACTAAAGTATCCAACCGAGGGTGATCAATTCACAAGCCAATTAAAAGTTAGTGACATTTTAAGAAGATGGAAAATTTGCCTCGGTACCGATTCAGCTCAGCTTGTCCAAAAAAGAGGATTCACGTACAGAAAATGCGGGAACAGATGGTGCAGATCAGCGAAACCACTCCCAATAGAGAAATGTTCAGCGATCAACTCTAGTGAGCAACCTATTAAAAGCACTCCGTTCGCCAGATGAGTTATCTCAGATATCCATTTCTCGTTCCGATACTTTTGTGAAATGAACTAATAAGTTATTTGTATGGTAGGTTTCGTGAGAAATCTGCATCGACCTAAATTTAGAAAATAAAACACCATCTGGAATTGTTGAGAAACGGTAACACGATGGACCACGTAACAGTAGAATTAGATTAAATCGGAATTGGCTTGATACGTAAACCCCACCGTTTTCAAAAGCACTTCCGAAATTCTCTAGCAGCATTGTTAGAAAGGACTGTGAGTAGGATTGCCCCAAATAGTCAAAAATACGTGTTAATTCCCCCATCAAACTTTTTAGGGTATAGTCTCTGATGAGTCACAGGAGTTCACTTCGGCAAAACCTAAAAGCAACCCAACCAGACAGAAATGGGCACGAGAAATCACACAAAAACTCAATTACATCGAAATGACAAATTCAAATAACCTCCGGTAGCAGCGTGGAAGCCTCGAAAGCGATGCATGCATCGTAAAGAACAGAGGGTACTAAGTCAGAAGTTCAATTTGAATATTCGATTTCATTCAGCGACTGTAGCAATATTTATGTTTTTTAGGGGAGAAAGTTTGCCTGAGAATGATGTTAACACTCAAGACAGCCATACATCGTTGATGCCGTCAGCCTGAACACTAATTGACTGCTTGTTAGATCCTCCAAGAGACCATTGTTTTACGAAGATAAGAATACTGCTTGGAGAAGAATGTGCCTCTTGCCTCGAGCAAGAATAAAGATAACAGAAAGCCTCGGGATCGAATATTCTTCCGAAATGACCTTGGGTGGCTGTGTATAAAGCAGTAACAGTCAGTAAGAGATGACACCATCCATGAGACAGCGGTGTCTGAAAAAAGTAACCGCAAGCATTGAGAAGCACGTAGAACGATAGGGTCTAAACAACAGAAGGCATATGCTAGCTTTTTGGGTTTCCAAACAAAAGGACAAAACACTTCTTGGTCCTGGTTCCAGCGAAGTCTACGCAAGCATACGAAATAAAAAAAACACCATTTTCTGCGAATGATAGAAGAAACCATGGATCAACACTCACTGAAAAAGTTTGCTGACTAGTGTACATGAGACAGGAAGAATAAGAGTCTCAGCAAAAAACTGAACAAGACACTGATTAGGAGCGCGGTAGATACTGACGCAATCGTGACTCACCGATGCGTAACTTCCCAGAATTTGATTGGTCTTGCATAGGATGTGATAAAAACGGCACTAGCCAACACGGGCTCCAAAGGGGACGATAAAATTGTAGACAGTAAGCAGTTTCCGAGCAGAAACAAGGTATCTATAGGGTGTCGTGTCAAGGATAGATGCAAAAGGCGAGGTAGAGTGTGAGTGAGCAATGCTGATTGCAAAAGTACCCGAATTGCAGGAACATATTACGGAAAGGATACGTGGAACGGAGGCTATCTGAATTAACGCATGAGCGCAAGACCCCCATGTGAATCGGAAGGGAGCGGTATAAATATACACAAAGTGGAGTTTATGAACCAACTCGATAAACTGAAACAGAAGAGAAGAAGGATTAGAAATCTAATTGTGCAATTGAAATCTAATGTCGTTTAGTACTCCCGTAAAAGAAGAGAGCATGAAACTGCTCCACTACAACCGTCTTTAGTAGGAAAATCTTACTAGGGTCGACTAGGAGTCAATTTATGGTTGATAGGATGATTTGCGCGCCGAATAGAAACGCCATAAGAGAAATGCGCTACATCACATACCTGAAAACAGATTTATTGATTGACTTTCACGTTAAATTATTGATGGCATAGGCGCGACTGACATACTCTTCCGTTACATCAACAGGCTCTTCGCCGATATAAAAGATTGCTGAATACCTGGGACCCTCCTTCTACCTTGGCGAAATATCCTATTGCAGGCCACGAAGTACTATTTATGAGGTCCAGATACAATAAAAACTCATCAGTTCGGTGCACAAATGGTCACACAGGTGTTACTAACCAGCCCTGCAACGAAGTCGATACTTACACTGAGGAAAATCCTGTTATCATCAAAAAAGGTAGTTGTTTCTTAGAGGATGGGATGTGCAGCATGATATCCATAGCAAGAACACCATCGAGGACACTCAGCTATTCACCAATTCAAATAACCAACCGACTACCAGTTTGGGGGGTGATTTTTCGGGCATACTCTGACTATTCGCCAGTGGTCAGATGATCGCGCAAATTGGTTAATAGCTTATTAGACAAATAAACTACACCTAACCTAAAACTGAGTGCACCAGCTGAAGTGCGTATCGGTGAACACGTGGTTGAACCAAAGGGTCACGTGTCTGACGCCTCTGAGTCCACATATTGAACCTCAATAAAAATAAAAGCGCTCACATGGCTGAAATTCTTGGTGTCCGACCCCGCCCCTACATCACAGATAAATTTGGAAATGTATGTGAAGGTAAGTGTGAGGAACTCTCAACATGCACCTCTGAACCTACCCATCAAAAACAGCCTTTCCCCTTCAAGAGAGAAGGGAACGAAACCCTAATTGTTCATATTTTTTTCTGGAAAATTCGTCTATGAACACTACCAGAGTTATCCATGTTACTGAGGTCACATGTAAGACTTGAAACTAGACTGCTGAACATGACCTATAATGAAAATAGGCTTAGCTGCTACAAAAGTAACACTAGAACATGTTTATGGAGCAGTAAAGTGAGTCAGTCCAGGAAACAGCACTCAAACTAATTTGGTGTGTGCTCTGAACCTACCCATCAAAAACAGCCTTTCCCCTTCAAGAGAGAAGGGAACGAAACCCTAATTGTTCATATTTTTTTCTGGAAAATTCGTCTATGAACACTACCAGAGTTATCCATGTTACTGAGGTCACATGTAAGACTTGAAACTAGACTGCTGAACATGACCTATAATGAAAATAGGCTTAGCTGCTACAAAAGTAACACTAGAACATGTTTATGGAGCAGTAAAGTGAGTCAGTCCAGGAAACAGCACTCAAACTAATCGACTTTGGTGTGTGTGTGTGTGTGTTCGTGTCACTCACCTTGTTTACAAAAATAGAAACAAAGAAATAATTGAGGGGAAACAACTCCGAATGGGTGTGAAAGTCAAAGGTGAATAAAAGCTCCGTGAAGAGAAGGAACAAGAACGTTCGCCCACCGGATGCGTTGAATCCATTGCGTAGCATCTTCATAGACGTTACAAGGACTATTATGCAAGTCCACCTAGAGCGAGGAGGGTAGAATGGAAGAGAGGACGTCAACAGGTGGACGATCACTTTCGAGGAGGAAATTGCTCACAAGGTTCATGAAAACTTCTAAACAGTTTCATCATTCTTGCGGCTCATCAGATAGGTGCAGTCATATTCACAGCGGGGTAAAATCCGATCTGACTCGTCAACGTAGAGACCAGTTGCTGAGGAGGAGACTGACACCTTAACATAGGCTGGAATTCAGCGCTTGCTCGTTGTTTACTACGGGCACCCAGCTACATCAAAATAGCAGTGCGTCTAGTATCGCCTAGGAAAGTCTAGTCTACATTCCGAACTACCAAACTGAGAATTCATTCACCTTAACATGATCTTAACAGCAATTGGAGAACACCAACGAAAAGCGGCCATAACAGGGGGATAGTCATCACAGAAAAGTAAGAGGACTTGGTGTAGGAGAGGAGAAGTAGGACCGATGTATACCCTATCACTGTTCAACCACCAAAGACATATGGTGTGTTAAAATGATGCAACTCTACTCTAAATTCCGTGCATCGTTTGCGCTGGTTAGTGACATATAGTAACCTCATCACAAGCATTGAGGCAACAAACGCGTACGACATCCCTAGTTATAATGCAGAAATAATCCAACCTCGATTCCTGGATATACCTTTTCGGAATACTGAAAAGTATGCAGGGTAATTCTCTTAAGAGAGAAGTCCAAACACAACAGGACGAATTTCCTCATTATGTTTTTTTGTCCCTGAGTCTTGTATAGAGAAAAGTGCTTGAGAAAAGACCAACCCGTCTTGATTACGAATGATTACGTCACTCAATATACGTGCAATTTGATATTCTACTAGAAAATGTGATATGAGGAACTGAATCTGTGTCCTCGATCAGGAGGAAACCTAGCTTGACTCGCGAATCACTTCCCCCCAATAATCAATCAACCTGTGCAAATTAATACCAGAGAGCACCTTAGATGCGATGGATACCAGGGTGATGCCACTATGAATTCGCATTACATAATCAATCAACCTGTGCAAATTAATACCAGAGAGCACCTTAGATGCGATGGATACCAGGGTGATGCCACTATGAACTTCGCATTACGTTCTTTCGCCCTTTTAGAAGACTGGGATCATAGTCGGAGGCTCCGTTTTACTGACATCATCTCCCCGTTCCAGATCCAAAGAAGTATAGTCGTCAGACTGTTCCACAAGACCTTGTCAACCTCTTCCAAGAAGCTGGTACTTTTTTGTATTGATTAGGCTGTCAGCAAGCCCGCTGTCTCCGGTTAATTCACCGGTCCACATTTGCCACCAAAAAAGGCTCTTGTCTGACTGACACCAAGCATAAAAATATGTATTTGTTTTCATAGGGGAAGCTATTCACAAGGTTGCTGAAGCTCTTTAACAGTCCGCTACCGGTTTCATCCTTCTGAGATTTCATCAGGTGGGCACACGAACGAGAAATTCAGCTGGGTTTCAGGTGAGTTATCCGCGAAAAACAAATTGGTGTACAAATGTATGTGTCGAATTTTGCGCAAGTAGGACGTAGGATTGACTCAGAGACTGCTCCCACCTGACTAACTCCAAGAAGTGAGAAACTGATCGTGGGCTGTCCTGTCGTGAGCATTTTCCTTTATGAAAATGTACTGCAATATCTCGAATACTGTACCAACATGAGGCGGACATTCATTTGAATATCACAAACAAGAGTTTCAAATGGGTTAAGGTGAGTATCACTGGAAAACAAATCGGTATTGTATCTGTACAATCTGTAGTTGCTCATTTTAGATCCCGCTAATCTGAGTGCTCGGATTGCGCGACACACGTCTTTGAAACATCACTTTTAAGGCGCAGGACGATTCGCCACCTAAACGATCCTCTCCTCATTTAGGTCCCTGGCCGTGTGCTTTGGTTAAGGTTGCGTCATGTGGTTCCATTGTACGCAAGCTTACGTCGCAGCATGAATAGTTGAGTGAATAACGCATCGCTACCCTTGAGGTGAGTAAGGCTGTCTTAGTCATCGTCACCCTACTAATCACTGGCACTTCCTTAGATGTGTTCTGTGGTGCTACGCTCAAATTTACATGATGTGGGACTTGAACGGCCGAAATAAGAATAACTAGCTGAAACCCTGTGTGAACAGCAACCTCCGCAAAAAGTTTGCTCAGTTAAAACTACCAGCACTGAGGAAAAAAGGTGGCGGTAACAGAAGGATGTGCATCAGAAGTTCATTTTTTTGCTTCACAAAAAGCAATGTCGATGCGGTAAGGAGAGCAGCAGTGAGCTGGACGAGTGTTTTATGTTTTGGTTTGAATTAATAAAAATTAATGGAGATAAACATATCATATAAATGTCTAAAGACAGTCCAATTTCACATAAACAGTTTAATTTAAGTTTGGATTCGAGCAGGGCAGCTTTTGCCAACCTCCAACACCTATGGCGCGAACGCGAAGTCAGTTTGTGTGTCAAGGGAAGAGTTTAGCCTGCGGTGGTGCGATCCACACTGTTCTACGTATCAGAGACATGGCCCCTACGCGCAGAGAACATACGGAAAATGTCAGTGTTTGATCATCGGTGTCTCCGAAGCGTTGGTCAGGTCTGGTGGGAGCATCGCATTAGTAATGCTGATAAGGTACGACAAATGGTCTTAGGAAGAAGAAACTCTCCTGCGATAGACGAATTAGTCACGCTTCATAGACTGCGCCGGTTTGGACATTTACACCGCACGCCAGAAGACCGCCTGCCTCGCAGAGCTCTTTTGGCCCGGCATTGTGCTGAGTGGAGGTGACCGAGAGGTGGACAGTGTTTGACCTGGTAACGAAATATGAAAACACTAACTAGTAAACTTAGTCGGGTCGGCAACTGGCGCCTCCCTGGATGGGGACCCCGGGACTCAAATCACCCATGGTTAGTGGCGGAAATGACCCAATCGCACAGCCAATCGCGCTCATTCATCAAAGCTATCGCCTTCAAAAGAGGAATAGAATAAACGAGATAAGTCCAGCGAAACGCTTCGTGACTCCCAGCTCGAGAACAACTGAGCTATGAATGGTGACGCGTATTCCGTAGAGCAAGTGTTGGCAAAAATTCGCAAACGTCAAATCCGAGTCTACACGACAACAATGAAAAGGTACGATCATAATTTTCCATGAAACAGGTTTAAACAGCTAGGCTATCCCTATCTCCGATAAAGGGACATCCAGCTGCGTACAACCACGATATACACTCAACACCTGCCAAACAGCGTTGTTTTGTTAATGTTGTATAGAAAGCAGTTTTGTCAGTCCCATTGCCTGTTATGTAACTCAAATGCGAATAGAAACTGTGTGCCACAGCCAACAGAAAACGAAAAACTACAAATGTCAGGTTACAGAGTGTAGTAACCTAACTAGGCCATGGAGGTTGATCAACTAAAGATCCCGATGAGACTGAAATCTTAGATCATAATTGTCGTTTTAAACTGACGAGATCAATATGCACTTAAGCTGTGGATGGAACTAAACATGTATGCAATGTGTCGCCCAAGTTGGACCAGAACAGTGGGAGATTTGAGCGGAATCGCATATCTGCTGAGACTGAAAGCAATTTCACATGGCTCACACTCACTTGACCATAATTTCCAAAATTCCAAATCAGAAGCCCACAATAGGTAGAAAAATATCAGACTCGTGTTTGACGAAATGGACAGACAGACAAACAGACAATAACCACTAGTTTCTTCTAGGATGCGCTATCGTCTCCCCCGAAACTTTAATGTCGAGTCGAACAAGCTATTAATTCTGAAGCAGAATATTCATGAAAACGGGTGAAAAAGTACTGGAAAAAGTAGACCTTCTAACAGTGGATCGAGCCTGACCAAAGCGAACACGTTCGAACTAGGGGAATAGACAGTGACAGTAATCAAACTGGGAATCATGGACCTTTAAATGTAAACCAGCTCTTTACGTTCAAAGGACCATCATCCTCAGTTTCCACGTCTAGGCTTGTGCAACCGGCCCTTGTGCTTCCTTCGGGTAGCATGGCAGCTAGATGTTACAGCTGAACGGCTAAACTGCGTCTTTATTATTGAAAACTAATCTTGTGTGAACACGGTAGCAAATCATCAGGCGACCACGGTGTTAAGTCATCACTGGATTAACTTCAGCAGCACCTAAGAGACATTCAGAAGGCACGAGTTTTAGGAAAACTGTTGTTGATGAATGAATACTACCTCATCGGATGACAGCATCAAACAATTGGATACGCAGCTGAAAACTGTCCTAACACCATGAGTCAACGACGTGGTGATTCTGGGTATTGATATTTGAGCTGCATTTTAAACTGACATCATCGCAAGGTTGATGGAGCGTTAGCGTAACTAAACCACATATTGATGTTTATGCTCAGAATCTATCTACCGTGAATTCTTGGTGGAAAATACCGACCGGAAGCAAGGCGAACTTCGAATTAACACAGTGCTAGATTGAACAGTAGTTACATACAACTCACATGTGGCCGAATTTGCTAGTCATTACCAGGATGGATTGGGTCACAGTCAGGACGGTAATCATGGGTATTAGCACGTTTCTTTCTATCCAGCACAACCAAAAATATGCGATTTCAAACTTAAGCAATTCTCCTCGTGAATGCGGAGCGATTTGGGGCTTGGTAAAACAAAGCCATGGATACGGCTGAACGTGGGAAAGGAACAAGGAAAAACGTAATTATTGGCAGAACATAAGATAAATGTGGATGCATTGAATTTCCATGACAGGGGACAAAACATCCTCCACTTTCAACTCCGCATTCGTATCTTCAGAAACGGCTACCTACAAGAAGCCGAGATGAAAGGAAAAAGTGTCATAGAGCATAGAGCGCCGTTAGAGAAGTGAGGCACGCGCTGTGGAAGCTGATGTTGCGGCCGCACGAATTATATGAATCATGGAAAAATAAAGTGGATGAAGCACAGAGATCCGAAGGAACGTATGAAACCAGGAATGCGTTGCATGACCTTTGTTAAGGAAACCGTATTGGTATAGCAATTTCCGTGAACTTGGGTCTGCTGAGGTCTAACACACCTATCGGAATGCCCATGCCTTTCACATTTTGTTCTTTTTTTAAGCACCTCTTTAATCCAATAAGCGTGATTCCACGGCACCAAAGAACAATTGCCCAAAGTCGATTTTGCTGTGAATGACGACAGAGCCCTTGCTTAGAGTATCAGCCCCGCTGACCGTTTAAAATGGCTCAGTAGACCTAGCCTCCGATAGGGTTTGCACTTACAAAAATATGAACTGTGAGAAGTCGAACATCGCATGTTCAGTGAGATATCTCACACAGGATAGGCGATGTCGCTAGCAGAGTGGCTGTTTTTCTTGAAGCATGAAGTTCATAATCGCGAAAGATTCAGCGGCAGTCAGTGGAATTCGGATGAAAGCTTGGTGCTACCCGGTGCATCTGCCGTTCACATATGTTCACCAATCGTATGCAAAGAATAATACAAATAGCGTATTTGCAACTCAGTTAGAAGCAAACTGTGTTTTTGGAGGTAGAACAACCAGGCGGTCGTGAATCTCGCAAGCGCATTCCAAAGATCTGAAACTGTAGTAACGTTTTTAGGTATCATATTACCACCCCTGTGCCACTTGGCCTAGAATATTCCCAACGTTGTGGCGAAAAATGACTGAACTTAAATGCACCGTTCATCAGCTCAATCTACGCAACCGATTTTGACCACGAAAATATTTTTCCCATGCCAGAGGCTATTACTGATACCCACTCATAGGAGTAAAATTAACTGTGAAAAACACGTAAGCCATCGTAACCCATACGGTCTATTAACCCCTGATCCTGAGATGACCTATGTAGGTCTGCATGGAAGGTCTCGACGATAGTAGGCACCATCCTTTTTGATAAATAGTGACTGATTCGCGTGTTCCAGGATCCTCTGGTAATCAATGCTACCCCAAAGTTACCTTTATTCAGTTGAACAACAATGATCGCTTGTGCCTCAAAGACCACGGAGGGACGGATGCAACGGTGTACGAGAAAGCTAGTGTGTGACGACAAGTGATGGCAGGTCACACGCTTTGTTCATCGGGCGTCGATCATTGGGAGAATCAACATGGCCTTAGGACACACGTAAGCAAGCAGTATATTTCCAGGTGATCTGAAGTTGAAGGGGAAAGGGTGCACTGGATTCTCTGACGCTCTTGATTTAACACACAATCAATCAATTATTGCCTCGTTCTGATGATACGCTTCTGCTATTCCCCCCCCCCCCAAGTTTTGAGCTGCCACCTGGAGTAATACGTTGAACCTTGTCTACAACCATTATGGATAAATACAGAATAGAAATGCTACACATAACAACTAGACAGAAATACGGATGAGTTCAAAAAGCGCTAACCCATCCATCAGCAGGCGCTGACCTCCTTCTGTCTTCATTGTTCCTATGTTACAACGATTCGGAACGAGCGCGGCAGATGAGCACATTTCCGGGAGCTTGGATCATACGCGTAATATGCGCCTAAGTCATTTCAACAATCGTAGAAGGATGATTTCGATCAGCGACCCCGCTTTATCAGAGTGGATAATTGTTTACAATCTGCGTCCAAAAGGCTGACGCGATTTTTGCTTTTACACACACTTAGAAAAAATAATACCAAATGATTCCTTCAAGCAGAGTTGAGGAAAATTTACCTTTTATGAAAAATTGAATGTAGTGCGTAGATCGAAAAATTCTCCATTGTATCGTTCTAGCGAAGCCGTTTCCGCGACAGTTTCACAGATGGCACATGAAAGGCTGTTTACTAAATTCAAACGTTTTCAGCATATGGTAACAGTACGTCAAGGACCCCGACATACCTTGAGTCGAATTTCACACATCTAAGACCCGTATCAGCCACCCCAAGACAACCGGTGCTGTTGGAACTTACGGGTAATATAAGGGGCATTCGTCACGCTGCCCCTTTAATGTACCACAATTTAAAAATTCATACTGAATGAATGAATGAATGAGGGAGACAGATTAGTTAGGATGTACTGTATTTGAAAGATGAAGAGGAAGCATTTCTTTCAACCTCTGAATGCTCTGATGGTAGAGTATCATTGGTTTACGAGCTCATAATACCCTCTTTTGAAGAGCGCTGTAAGTGTTGGTGTTGTCTGTTAACGATGACGACGATCATGCTTCGTACATTGGTGGGTACCGCCTTCGTAAAATCATCCAGTGCGCAAAGAACTAGAAACAACAGTGGTAATAGGTAATGATGGGGTTCCCTAAGAGTATATTTAAGGCGAAGATTCGGACCGTACAATTTTGGAATCTGCCATAGGACTGAAAAAGACTTCAATGATGACGGCCTACCGTACACCGTTCCCCAGGATACTGGAGATCAGCAGACCTCGAGATGGTTAAGTGGTTCAGGCGCGAACTCACTGACCGGAAGGTTCGTAGCTCGAACCAAATGCCGCCTTCTGTCTAGGCTCGGACAACCTGGCTGAACCTCACTCCTTGCACTTCCCTCGGTTGGCCTGGTAGCTAGGAATCGAAATGGTGATACAGATAACTGGACGCGTCGTTCTGACTTTGTATTATTAATGTGACGGTAACTCAATCGGGTCATGTCCAAATATCGCGTACTTGAGCTAAACACTATCCCGACGGCAGTAAGCAAAAATAAAGCCGGAAAGTAAACATCACATGTACCCACGTGGATCAACTACTCTTAAAGGAAATAGCAAAGCTTTTAAACAACCTGTTTTCGGATACGTCAAGTTAGTAGTGGATAACCAAAAGTAATCGTAGAGACGCGCATCCATAGCTACCGGTTGAAGTTGAAAAGGAAGCAGTGGGCACAAAAAGCGGTCGATTAAAAACAAAACATCAAACCATACGGGTTTCCACGCAAAGGCTCCTTAGTTAGAACAAAACCCAACGGTAAGCACTCACAGTGAACACCGACAATAGTTGCTTACTACTGAGATCATACAATTTGTCCACTCGTGAGGCCTACGCCTTTTATGAACTAACGCAGGGAACATGTGCTTCCGGATGCAAGAATAAAGTGCCAATGAAGTCTGTCGAATACATGCGAGACAGAGCATTCTCAGAGAGTAGAACACGCCTAGATGAAGCAGATGGTATCCTGTATCTATAACGTGCAGATAGGAAATAAACCATCAGAAAGAGATTGAGGTGGAACTTGTATTTATCGTCTACGTGATACCGGTTGTGTACTTATCCGTGTTTCGCCCCGTGCGCGCACTCAGTAGTCTGTCGAAAATCTAATCAATAAACACAATGTTACACGACACAGTTTAGGGTCAGAGTTGCCGCACACATGCGCGAAGGTGTGTGCGTCTACACCGGTTTAATTCATCACACAATACGTCCGTAAGTAGTAAAAGTATCCTAAGCTTGTAAAACTAGAATATTCACTTCCCTATGTCCCAGTAAAACCTGTTGCAACGGTGCGCTCGATTGCACAGGACGCAATCTGATTAGTTCCAACAAAATTTTTGAACAGCTCGATATCCTCTGAACACAGAGATGTCAAACTTGAAACCAGCTTATTCAATGCATGATCTACCTGGTCCTACACTGAGTTTCCCGATAAATAATCAAAATACACGAGTATATCCACGTCGCCTATCCTGGGGATGAGAATCGCTAATACGGTCAACCTCGGTCACCAGTGAGAACCCCCAGGAGATCAACCCCACAGTCTTGCTTGTTGTGGATCCCATACATCATGCCAGTAGCAGAGTGATCTTCACAAACTGGACTAATCATCTCATCACTAGCTACCACATACCCGCAATTAGAACATTCAGTGAAGCACTACACAGCCCACTTTACCTTGGCTTGGCATAACTTGCATGAAAACAAGATACTTTGTTCACATCAAGTAAGGGGAGCAGTGTAGCAACCGTTTAATTCCATTTACGGATCCTACAGTGGACAAAGAAAGCAAGTTTCCGGTCTGCGACAGACACCTCGCCCATACTAGTTGACGAACATCTGAGAAAATTGTTTCGAAAATGAAGAACACCCGCCTGCTTTTGTAACCTGAAGATGGTGACATTGATTAATTCAGTCACGTTTTAGTTACGCACAATGAGTCGTCACCTCAACTGTTCAAGTGCATACCCATGTGATCTGCACAACTCACATACCGTTTCACCTGCGTACTATAGGCTTAATAAGCATTACTTCTAGTGCGGCTCGAATATTCCCTTGTGTTTCCTTTGCACAAAAACCGCCGGACCCTAAATAGTTCTGTACGACTGTCTGGTGCATGATCCATCATCCCAAACAATCTCGTGCGATACAAACGAAACAGAGAAGCTAGTCAACACGTGACCACGTGATGTGGACCCTGTCATTGAAAGATGAGTGGTGCTATATCCTGTCCTGGTGCGAGTTAATCACAATGCTGATCAGCCGTTCGTGGCTGGACATTTATGTTCTCAAACTACTAGCCGGGAGGTCGCAGGTGCAAAACTCCTTGATGTTTCGTGGGATACGTACGAACGATGATTCTCTAGAATTAGGGGACAGCTGTAAGGTGCTTCTCATCGTTTCGGCATAGACCGGGACGAACTCCCAAATGAAAATTCCCAAGTCTCTTTACGTTAACAACGATCAAACAAAAGCTTTCTGACCAACTGAACTATATCTAATCGAAATGTCCACACAGGCTCACTCGATCAAATTCCAAGAAGCGCGTATCATTGGTTGAACCAAGTGCGGCGTGATTACGAGAAATAATGCTAACACTTAGCGCACTGGTGCATTGAGTGGTGCAACATTAAGGAGTCAACGACGTTCCCATACCTAATCAGGAAGTAGTTGAGGGGGATGTGTTTGAAGAGGTTGCGTGACATAAGCGGTCATGCTTGAAGAATTCTTACAGTTGAACTTAGACTGAGTTTGACTACCTCTCGATCTGTGAAGCTTATGCAGTAAAGTCCTCAATAAGAGACACCCCACATTTAGGGACAAATCTGAATTTACATTACAAGTGCGGCCATCCTGCCGAACTGAACAACGGGACTGAATCCTCCTACTTCCCGCAAAGGGATACCCGTAGTTATGTGACTGGTGCTGTTAGCTGATCCCTCCGGTGATTCATTCCCATCTGCAAATTTGGAGGCAAATGGGCACTAGTGCTAACGCACTAGGAAAATACTGTCTGGACAAGAAATTGTGAACACCGGCTGCCTTACGCCGATTCATTTGGCCCCCACCAATTGTTGCCCGTTAGGACTGGATCTCGTGAGCAAACATCAGCTGAATCAAGATAAGATACTTGCATTGCGTTAGTATACGTGCGTTCAGGTTACCATACCAAAGCTAAAGTGTTGATTTGTGTGTGCGTGGTTCGTTTGTGAAGGGTGACATCCTAGCTACTCGAGGTATTGGGTAGATAGAGATATATATATAAGGACCTGAATAAGTGACACCGTGCACGTGGAGGCGTTTTCTTCTCGTTGATAAAAGAGTTTTCCTGTACCGGTTGTTTGACACCAACTAAAAAAAAACTCGAAGAACTCCGACTGACCTTGCGAAGGTTTGGCCAGATGTAGTGCAGAAAAGCCCCGTTTACAATTGTGACCAACACGATAATCCGCGTAACTAAAGCATGACTGGTTGCATAGTCGACGAGGGGACTAGCATGAATGCCAAAGACTGCAACTACCCACAAAACGCAACAGATGAAATCGTTCTGTAACCGGGCTAGCAGAGCTTCACGAAGTAGTTGGGGCAACGGATCTTTAAACCGCTTGGCCCGTAAGGAATCCCGCTTTACTTCACCACTGCTATCGCTTCCGGTGAGAGTTGAACGTTTAGTGCGCAAAGTTCGTTGTCTAGACTGCTTGCACATTGCAAAGTCCACACTAGCAGTAGTCTTCCTCCCATCACCAGCTGGATGAAGGGAGCTCTTGGAATGGAACCGCGTCAATGGCGGGGCACTAGCAGGTGTATGTGGTTCTTTGAGCTCTGCACATGCACCGGTCTCTTGGACTTCGTCCCGTTGTCCAAAACAATCTGTGGTTCGGTCTTGAAGAAAGTTGGTGTCCCGGAATTTTCCGTCATTCACCTCAACTGGCTGATCAGTGGATGTATTGTGGTCATCGCGCAAATATTCTTCATCGAGCGAGTAATTTCGAAGATTAGACAGCTGAGGAGAGTCCAAGAAAAGTTCACCAACTGGGAATGATGGAGAAGAACCAAACTGTCGACCTATCCAAACAAAACAAGAAATATTTGAAGCTAGATCACTAAGACATAGTTAAGATAGATTTACTCACTTGGTAACATCAACTAACCGATTTGATAGGGAATATTGAAGCTTTCAAATTTGAATTCTACAGTTTAATGGTACAGTAAATACATCAAGGATATATATATATATATATATATATATATATATATATATATG